TGATCTCTGCTCATCGTGTTCATCTTATTTTTTTATGGTGATGAAGGACCCATAAGTGAATTTTCCAATAACCATATGAGCAGACCTTATGTTTACACTTAATTTCATATAGCCTTGCTTTCCTAAATGATATTTCAATCCAAGGTAGACAGCTAATATATATGTATATATATATATATCTATATGATTTAATGGTAGTTTCAAAAACATACTCAGAACAAAAAATAAGTAACGTCATCGATTACTATAGTAAATATAAGTTAACTTCATCGACAACCCCAACACATAAGGTGATATGGAAAAATGCCCGACCGTCCTCAAAATCAACCTTGTCCCTGTGGCCTAAGGACACTCGTGGCAATGTGACGTAGTGGTTAACGTGTCGAGTTTATAAACTGCACTATCACAATTCGACTCGCGCTGCGATGTTGATAAGACCTAGGAGAGGTCGAAATTGCAGTCCACTCTGGATGATAATACCTTTTTGGAAACGTCATGCTCTACTCATACCATTATGGGGAAATTCAACTAATGTTCTTCATTACCTTAAACGAAATAAGATGAACACAGCTCATATATGTGATTTACTAGTAGTCTCGAAAACCAAATCAGAGCGAAGACATAAGAATTGCTCATGTCTAATAGTAGTTTACTCAAGAAAGAACCCCATTATTTGTCTATTTGGCAACTACTTTATGAGTGCTGAAGAGTGACGAGCGTTTTTATCAAAAAGATTATTGAAGGAAAATCGCCTTGTTCGTCACTTTAGCTATTCATTTGAGCATGCTGCTGTGCATTATTTTATAATAAGTTACGTAGGATAATTGCTCGATAGTGTGAACATGATCGGCGCTCATGCAAATTTGCAATGGCAATAAAGACAGGAGCTTATTCTGGTCATGCGCAATATAGAGCGAAGAAAAGACAAACTCCAAAGGAACTCTAAACCGTTCTAGGTCACTTCCAAATCTCAGCTATCAGGCGAAGACCTTTGAATTATTATAAAATTGGAAATTTTTTAAAGTCTTCATTGTTATATTGAAGCTTCTAAGATAGTCTATTCTTTTTACAATATTGTAAGCAAATTGGAACATTTAAAAACATTTTTGACTTTTGCAGCATGAGCACACAGAAAATAATAGAGGGTTTAAGGGTGGGTAAAGAGAATATGTATATTCGTACTCGCTTCAACAGTTTAGTAAACATTATAGAAATAAATTATTCACTGTCGTTAAGGTTGAAAAATAATCTGGAATAGTCACTTTTCAAGTCTCAGGACAGCAAGTCTTAGAAACAAGTTATGTCATTTATGGCTCACAAGAAATAAACACTTATAAATCATATATTAAAATTGTCAAGGAGAACATTTAATAAGCACCAATCTAAATAATAGTTATTCCTTTGCATACGAGCAAGAATTAACACAATAAAACTCCACTCAATTTTACTAGGGGATTTGCCTAAAGTTTCTCGAAATTCCATATATTTGTTTATTTATAATATAGTATTTTAAATATTTTTATATATTATAGTTACAAATACTTATGTGAATAAACAATGAAGGGACCATAACATTTTCAAATGAATAAACGGAAGAGGGAGTTATGGTCACAGAACGCGGACCGCAATTCAGGCCCTTTTAACTGGATCTTAAGCAAAAGGCTTTGAATTATTTATTAAATGCATTTCTGATCAGATAAGCAGCATTCCATTATTTTATTAGAATACACTTTTATACCAATATTCCACTCATAGACTATGGACTTTTGTCTTACTTCGGCCACAAGATATTTAAACCAACGCAAAACATTAACTAAACGCCTAAACATTTATTCAATAAATCTTGCATTAAAAATGTCATTCAATTCAATTCAAAGTTTTCGAGTAGACCCCAAGATATTTTATCTCAAGGCTTATCAATATGCATATTATCGAATTTTAACTAAATCGTATGGAATAAATTAGCTAATTGATGTTCGAAGTTATATTAATTTTTATCGTCTGTTTTACTATAGCCACTTCACATTTGTATCCTCTAGCGACAGGCATCTAAATGGATGGATTCGGTGTTCACACATGGTGAAATATTAAAGTAAATCTTAAGCTAAGCTCGAAGTTAAATTTAAAAGTTTAGATGCGCTAAGTATTTATTACGAGACGTATTCACCCAATTTATTGTCATAAAATTTCATAATTAAACTATTTAACTCATGTTTAGACTTTATGACCAAATGTGTGAAAGCAAAGACTATAAAGCTTTACCATGTGAATTATGGGTATGAGGGGACAGTCTAACATCAAATTGTTTAATAAGGCTGGTCTTAAGCCCCCATAAATCAGCTTAACTGTCAACCATTTAACTTAAAAAGCCATTTGCTTTCTGTCTTTAGAATTTGCTATGGGTACATTGATTGGCTATATGAAGCTGGATAAAAAATCACAAATATTTAATCAGCAAGCTCTATTAGACAGACTTTATATTTATATGTGTAGTATTATTTATTCAAACGGCATTGCCATCCTTATTGTTGTTCTCTTTTTCTTAGTAAATCTTTCCACATTTCATAAATAGCCTAATTGTGAGACATATCAGTTTTCATAGTTTAGTTCGTATTAAAGTCTTGGCATAAATGGCTGTATATCTCGGCAATAGAAGGAACTGCTCATACACAATTAAAAATCGAGCTTAAAACATCAGCATAATTAATTTAAGAGTATCGCATAAGGTGCATCATTGATTTAGTCCGGAATGTGCTGTTATTAAAAATCGGTCTTCCGATTATTTATAATGAAAATAATTATACGCTTTCTGATCTTTTCACTTTTTAAGTAAATAATGTTAGTAAATTCAATTTTAAACGTACGTATTTGAGTCCATCCGCTTTATAGATAGCTATTTGGTTTACTAATAAAAATCTTGTACAGGCTGGTTCAGCACCTTTAATACTAATTTTTGTCACAAATAAAGTATCTTCGCAACCTTTTCCAGAGATCCAAATGTATTAGACCAATTATTTTAAGGAGACCTCTAATAAACAAAAGGCCATGCCATCCTGGTCTTCATGTCTATTTTCCGATTGTTAGAGATTCAAAAATTCATTTTGAAGAATATTCTTTATCCCTTAACCTATTTTTGATCATACTCTTAAGAAGGTTTCACCCACTCCCCCACAGTATTTCAGGCAGGTGAAACAATCAAAAAGATCGAAGCGGTAATATTAGTTTGCTTATCGGCATTAAACAGCCCAACAAGGGTCAAACTCTTTTAGCATTGCCAAGATGCATTAGAATCTAATGCTAGAATGGCTGATAGATTTATGGTTGGCGCCTCAATTATTGTCGAAGGGAATGCATACATTCTACGATTAGATCGAAGCAGTAAATTTGGATAGTATTTACCTTAAAGTGCAAATTTGTATTATGATGTGAGTCTCTTGCTGTCTCTTAAGTAATCAATATAATATATGATAAGGTACATTGTCTAACCTTTCCGGAGGTAAACAGTAAAATTTACCCTAGCAATTGTTCTCCATCCACGCTTGCAGTTAAGCTTCAACTGAATATGAATTTTTGTCAACGAGACTCATGGAATATGTATTCTTAATGGTCATCTAGGCAAAAGAATAGAGATTTTCTCAATTAATAGTTTTTAAAATGCATACAGACTTATCGTGCAGATGCTCTAATTTTAGCTCTTAAAATAAGTTGCGTTATGGGTTATTTTAAATTTCACGATAAATCATAAAGTCTCAAATGATCTCATAGAAGTAAAAAATATATATATATATGGTTTAGAGCCATCAGTTGATTAATTTTGTGAGGGCAGCCATTTTTTAGTCTGGTGCAGGTAAACTTCTCAAATGCTGTAGTCTTTTAGCTCTTAAAAGCATAATAAGCCTCAAAGGCACTACCTCAGGCAGCCAATCAGTCTAATATGAAAGAACCGCCGCTTTAGGATGCATACAGACACTTTGTTAAAAAGTTCAGGGGACTTTTCTGAAGTTCAGCTAAACATATGCTAGGATTTATTTACTCATAAACATCAAGTAAGGCAAAGAGAATCGGTAATACCATTCTTTGAAATATTCAACTTTATTTGCCTAAAGCTAAGGATACCCTTGTTGAGGAGTATAAGCCAAAAATGTATCTTTTCTTATAAGTTGAAATGCCGACCACATTCGTCAAAATGATGTGCTCTTCAAAAATCATGAACTAGGAATAATGCATTTTTTAGCATCCAGCATGGAAATCTATGCTTATTCGTGACTTTACTTTGAAAGTGTTGGCATGTTTACAAAAACGAAATCAAATAAACTTGTTTGAATATTTTCCTATAACAGCTTTGAACAAATAGATCAAGTGAACTGCTTATATCAGGCATAACCCAATAACTTAGAGGTCATTAGGCGTGGATGGACTTTAAGCCTTCTTAAATTCACACACCATATAATTTATGATACTGTTGCGTTGTTGTTGCTATATTAAATTACCGAGGAATTGACTGATTTCAAGGCCCCTTAGTTTTTTCACAATAACCTCAACTTCATATGGACTAAGGTCAAACTTCCGGAAGAGACCCAACATTACTTAAAGTGCACGTAATTATGTAAAGCCTAAAAGATTATATGCTTAGATATGGCTCAGGCATCAGACCTAAGCAATTGAGCTAACTAAAACAAATCCGCCAGGGAGATTTGGGATTTATGCTCGTATTTGTGGCTAGTTTGATGCTTTATGCAGATTAAACGGATTTAATGCCAACTTTGCACTTTGGCAATTTTAGCGAAATTCCATCCAAATATGAGGAGTTAGTCATGCGTCATTAAGCAAAACTGTAGATTTAGCAAATTCGTCATTTTTGCCTGACTCGAAGACAATAGATTGAGGTGGATTAAAAATAATGTTTTCCCAACTTCATCAGTTAGTCTCAATTTTCGTCACCTCTCTGCATCTGACGTCAACTGACGTGGTCAGTTGGGAAAGCAGAACCGAACAGCAACTCATATGTTCTTGTTCTCGTGTACTGACAGTGGGCTTAGGCCATTGTATCGGCCAGTTTGTGCACCCTTAAGGGGGGACACACATACACTGGACTGAGGCCAGAAGTTGTCGTCCAAAGTACTGGCAATGTCTTGCGCCCATGCAATTCGCTCGCGCATCCCGCGGCCAATTCGGACACGACCTGTACGGATTTCAAGCATGTGCGATCGATCCGAGTAGCCCTCGAGCAAAGAGGCTGCCCAGTCTGACACGAATTTTATGTCTCCGATTCGCCTCGGTTCAGATATTCTCATCTTTCTGCTCTTCAGCGTCTTCAAGCGCTGGCCGAATCCTCTTGTTTCGGCGTTTTAATAATCTTCTTCGCTGTACTACTGCTTCCCAGAGTGCATCAGTCGCTTCTGCCGGGAGTTGTCTATAGCTAAAGCGAGAATGAGACTTAGAGACCGGTTTTTGTGCAACAATCAGGACGATACATTGTTACAGTGAAGATACGCATTAAAGGTACTCGAAAACTGGCGCGATCCACCAGGCCTCCCCCTCGTTCCGAGTGGAAATGGAACTGAGATTTTATTCTTCACATGATAGACTCCGTCAGAGCTGCATCGCAGTTCTTCAACCACTTCGGGAGTACACCAAGTC